AAAAAAAAAAAAAAAAACAAGCTCACTGTTCTCATTAAAAATCTTCATTCATATAGTCTTTCAATTGTAATGTAAATATTATTTTTCCAACCAACGTATCGTTTCGCTATAAAAGTTGTTTTAATATGCTCGTAAATAATATTGAAACAGGTTAATAATACTACAGGTTAATAATATTAAAACATGTTAATAATAATTGAACTGATAAAAAAAAATATGTAGATTGCGCGCGGCCATCGACAAATTTTTGTTGGCCAATGAGACCCAGGAGATATGAAAGGTTGGACATTCACGCTCTGTAATACTTCCGGGTTGTTATTCCGACTTCCTACGGAACAATTACGGAGCGTTATCGGAGCTGTACCTCTCTGGCGCATCATCGTCCAACGATATTATTGATTTCCCTCACCACGCGGGTATCGCTCACTTCCGCATAATCCTCGTCGAGATTACGAGCCAAAATCGATACGGCGAGCGCGCCGGGCGCCGATAAAAAAAATTGTTTGTCGACGCGGACAACTGCTTGCACGCCGGCGAGCTCGTACGTCGCCGAATTCCAGACGGCATCCCGGCGGCGCAGCGAATACGCTCGCGACGGATGCAGCAAGAATCGAGATCCTTCGAAGTGCGCGCACGGTGTATACGTAACGAGCCAACGAGTCTCGTCTCACAAAGAAGTTGCAAACACGCGAAAGTTCGACTCACCCTCTCCCTCTCCCTCTATCAGCGCGAAACTAGCCAAACGTCGGCGGAAAAATTGGGCCAAACAAGTCGGATAGCGTGGCGAAATTTCGCGGACAAGGAAAGGCCGAATATCGCGGCCCAATTCCGTTTTTGTCCAACCCGCGATCGAACAGAACGTCATATCGAGAGTGATTTGTTTCGCTGCGAAGTGGGGCCGCGCGGACACGCTTCCGACAGAAATGGGACTCGGAGGTCGATTAGTTTCGCTGACGCATTTGGCCCGGTGGCGAGAGGTTGTTTCAGATTGGGAAGGGTCTCGTCGCCAACGATTTGATGTATCTATCTTTGGTGGGTTGGTCAAAAGTAATTGCATTTCTTTTTTTTTTTTTTTTTCCCTAATATATGTATATCTCAGAATTTAACCCTTTGCACTTAAATCTAGCTCGAACTTCCTCTTTATATGATTTGCCGATAATTATAATGAACGTATACATTTGGTGTTGCACGATGCGATGTATAATAGTATAACATCTGAACAAACATCTAGAGCGGAAGCTATAAGGAGAACGAGTATTTCAGAAGAAGAGATTTCTGAATACAGTCAGTCGACACTCATTGGAATAATTCACATAATTCGAAATTCACAAGTTCACATAAACTAGAATTCTCATTGCTTCTTACGAAAGTTCAAGAAATGGTGGAGGATATTAGTTTTCCAGGCATTGAAACTATGTATCATTAACTCTTGTGTATTATGCTTGTTCTAGCAAATCACGTTGCACGTTGATGATTGCTTTAAATTTTAATGATATCACGTGTTGAAAAGGATGTAATCAACAAAATTTCGTATAAAATACTATTTGAATGATTTGCAATGCTATACGATTTTATTTGAAGTGACGATGTTTCGTAAATAAATTGCTGGTAGATGATGACAGAAAAATGGTTGTCGAGAGTAAAGGGGTTAACTAATTTCATTTTAAACCGTAAATTCATTCTGTAATCGGATATGTAATCGTTCAAGCTTGTTTTGAAGAAAGAAAATACACGATCTCGTTAACAATTGTTTCTCTCTTGTTCATCGATTTCCAAATGGAAAATCAAAAAACAAAATTTTCGTCATATTTAGCTGTGCTATCTCTGAAAAGAGGGAAAAGCACTGTGCAAGCTCATAAAAAATTGACGTGTATAACGAAGAATTACGGCAGCAGTTTTCAACACTGGGGTATCAAATCGTTCTTGGATTTTTCATCGAAAAAGATGAGAATTTTTTCGAACGCAGAACTGCAAAGTTGCCTGAAATATGGCAAAAGATAATCAAGAATGGACAATACATTGTCTGACAAAGCTTTTGTTTCTCGCGAAAAATTTGCACACACACACAAAAACGTAGTCACTTTTTGGTCAACCTAGTACTTTTAGTATCTTTACCGAAAAAAATTTTTTAAATAGTACGAGAACATTGAGTAATCCTTCAACCAGAATTATTCATGACTATCGTAGAAGTTTATATTAAAAATATATATCCTGCTGTTACTTGGTACAACTTCATCAGCGTGTTCCATCAGACTAGTACATATTTACTACTTTACATGTCTCGTGATATAAAATATTCGAGTGAACAGCGAAAGACGAACACGAATGACATAACAACGAACGTGTTAATAAATTCACGAAAAATCGTGTCGAAGAAAGCATCGAGTTTCAGCGAATAACTTCAAAACTTCCAACGAAGGGAAACTTTCCCGAAAGGGAGAGAGCATCCTTAACTTTCGTCGCTCACAGTCGGATGAAAATACGGAAACTTATTTAAAAGAGCAATTTAAGATTAATTGCTAAGCATCGTTTGTAGAAACGTCTGTCGGCGGGTAAAAAAATAAAAAAAATGACAGAGAGAGAGAGAGAGAGAGAGAGAGAGAGAGAGAGCCTGAAAGAGATTCGATAATGAATTCGCTCGCTTTGAGCGGCTCGGTCACAGAGTATCTCGGCCACTTTTGTCAAACGAAATTCCTCCACTTTTGCTGTCCCGGAACGGGACAAATTTTCGCGGCAAGGAAGACCGCCGACGGGAAGCTCGATAAAAGGGAGGAAAAGTCGTCGGAAGTCTGACAAAGAATACGTCTTTGCGGGGAGAAGGAACTTCCGGCTCACTCGCCGCCGCGGTAAATCGCCCGCTGTTCTTTCGCAAACGAATTTCTCACAGAGATGGCAGAGAAGAGACAAGAAGCCGAGCTGACAGCCAGGTTAACTGTCTGTAATCTGTCTTTGGATTCGCTGGCTTGGCAGATGGGAGTCGGTAGATTGAATGCGTTAGTCGACGAAATTCAACAGTCGTGTGATGCACCGGGAAATTTCTCCACTTGTTTCAAATCAAAAATATTTGGAATTAAATGATGTCAATGTATTCTTCGATATTTTTGAGAAAATGTAATTTAAACAACCGAACCTGAATAGAGAAAACTGTTTCGCACGCCAAAAACATTGCACTTTGAATATTTTATGTGTTTCTTCGCGTTCTCGGCAATTTTGTATTTTTAAATTTCCCGCGAGCGAGTAAAAATTCGCAATCCACTTGCAAAAAAAAAAAAAAAACTGCAACACTTCGCTGCTACGACGTTTGAAGTTTAAACGCTTGACACTCGTCGAATCGGGATATTTAAACGTACGAGATTGGAGAAAGCTGAATTGGAGAAAATTTGAACGTTTGTCAAATCTGAAAGTATCTCGGCGCCCTCGTTCCGGCTTTCAACGTCTCGTCGTATCGAGGAGCGTTTGTTTGACGCCATAAAAGCCTCCCGCGTACAACCCTCCATATCCCGTCGAGGGTTGGTCCCGGGAGACGAAAATCGCGTTAGCGGAGTAAAAAGGTCGGCGAATTGTTCGCGTGCCTCCGCTGTTTCGAGGAATCAAGAAAGTCTCCGAGAGCGTGGGCAAACTTGACGGAATACCTCTCGCTTCGCTCCACATCCGATAGTCGAGTTTTCCTTCTTTTTTTTTATTCCTTTTTTTTCTTTTTTCAAGTGCTGCGAACGAACGTACGAACAAGGCAAACAAAACTGATGGAACGGACGCTGTGATTTCCTTTCCTTCTTTTACTCCTTTCTCTCTCTCTCCAACAAACTAAAGTTCGCTAGTGTTTATCATTCAGGCGGGAAACGTGCATGTGGGAAGAACATGGAGAAAAATCTGTTTCGGGAGTGAGAGTTCGCAAACTCGATTCGCGTGTCCTTGCGCTGCTAATTTGACTGGATGGAACTATCACGACGACCGCCTCCTGCTCTCCTAAACTCGATTTCCTCCGTTAATTACCCGTGTGTATCGACGACGAATACGACGAACAAGTCGCCCCCTATTCTCCACAACCGTGGCTTTCTGCTGAAAACCCATTAACCATCCCCCGTTAATTATGCTCCTTCCGTTTCACAAACAATCTACCTCTATATCAGCTGGGCGTTTACAAAGCGAAAAATTTCGAGAATCTCAAGAATTCATTTACCACGGAATTGCAGACGATTCCTTCAAATTCCAACTGATTAATTATTTCCTCGAGATCGTTACGTGCACCGCGCAGACGCTAGTCTCTCTCATGCTTATTTCAACGACGCACGTACAACGAAACAAACGTGCAACAACCCCCCCTTCTGCTAGTCTCTTCGTGTTTCTTCGTCATTCTGCGCGGGGAAAAATAAAAAATCTTCTACGCGGCACACGCTGGCCAAGCTGGTCAAAAGCTAAACATCAACGACAGAGAGAGAGAGGAGAACAATACCTTCGTCGCCAGAAGTTGAGGAGTTGTCCTCTGGTTCGGGCGACGATCCTGGAGACCCAGGGGACTGTCTACCGAGTCTCGAGTCTGGTCGGCCATACTCGTATCCTCCGCATGGCCATCTGTTGTCCTCCCATTGACGTCCCCCCTTCTCGGGGGACACGGATCGTCCGTCCCTCGCGTCTGCCGGAAACGAGCCTCGCTTGCCGTCCCTCGCTTCGGGGCAGCCCAATCTTTTCCCAAAGTCACCGCTGGACACCGTTGAACGCTTCCTGGGGAGATTCCGTGACGGGAATACGTTTACGCGTCTTCCACACTCGTCAGACGGCCAATTCGATCGTTAGACGGACTCTCGATCACCATGGGAGATGCTTGAATCAGCCGAGCCCCCCGGGCCTCGCGGCAACGATCGAATTTCCGGTACGATTCCCCACGTGGCTCGATCTCGACCGTGTTTCTCGCACTCGTTCGAACAACCAATTGAATTCTTTTTTTGGAAAAATTTCGACGTCAACCCCTTGTGCTGGCAATTTGTTTGTTAAACTGTATACAGCAATTCATCGGAATGACAAGTTCGCCAAGTTCATCGTCGCTTTCCATTTTAACCCCTTGCACTGGCAACTGGTTTCGCGGACCGTAACGAGTGACCGAACCGTATACAATAATTCGTCGCTTTCTGTTTTAACTCGTCGGTACGATATCAATTAGATGGATAGAAATTATTGAGAAGTAATAAATTTAAAAATATAAATTTAATGTATTATATAGTATATTATATAATATGAATTAGTATATTAATAATAGTATATAGTATAAATTTATTATTTGTTTTGCCTGGGTTACATTTAAATACACTGAGAAACTGAGAAAATGCTGCAATTTGGGACAGAAAATTCTCGACGTGCGTGGTACGTCATTCCAGCGCAAGAGGTTAAAATAAGGGTAGAAATTACGAAAGAGTAATTTATTATTTGTTTCGCCTGGGTTATATTTAAATATACCTGAAATTGAGAAAATATTGCAACTTTGGGACAAAACACTTTCGACGTGCGTGGCATGTCAATCCAGCGCAAGAGGTTAAGGATGGAGCAAGTAGATTCGAACTATGTTTGGTCAGACACTGGCTCTAATATTCTATATACCGATGACGTGCGACTTGGTTGAAAAGTAACGGGATTTATAGTCTTTTGAGAGCGTGAAGTGTCAATTGAATCGTGTATTTTTTCACGAAAACTGATACTTATCGCGAAAACAGTGAAAAAGAGTATTTCGTATATTTTCGTGTTTCGTTTGCATTCTATGTGTTTTTGTATTATTCTAAATGCATAGAAACTCGCAGTCTAGCGACTATGGTGTCTCACAATACATCCGATTCCTCTTGCATGTATAATTTTCATCGAATCAAAGGTGTAGAAATTCATCTACGATAGCCACGGTTAAAAACTTTCTTTTCCACTCTGTACATATTATTTACAACAGTATTATTGTTAAAGTCTCTAAGGAGTCAATCGTCTCCAATTACCTTCAAATTCCAAAACCCGAGATTCAAAATTTACAAGATCGAAATTCACTCTATCTATCGCAATCCCGTTACTTCTACAATTGATACTTGGCACTGAACTTTGCAAAATTCAAAATCATTCGACTCGTTCAATTCGATACTACCGCAATCCCGATACTTTAGCGTACAATTGACATCCGACAACTCGATCGATGTTAAATCCCTATTGAATCGTCGTCACAATGACAGCCGAGATCAAAAGCAACGCTGTAACGAGAGAATCGTATACCAAAAGTGGGAAAGCGAGCGTTTCGCTTCGACGGATGTAAACGTACTCCCTGGAGTCGCCTGGGGCGTTGGGCGATCTCCTTCCGGTGAAGTCACGGAACTCCGTGGTGCACGTTCCTGTTGACGACGACGGCTGCTGCGGCAGCGATCTTTTCCCGCTGGTCCCTGGATCTCTGGCTTCGTGGCAGGTGTCACGGACATTTGCCAGGTCAACGTTGGCAGTAGTCTTTGCTTCTTTGGCGGGAGATGGCGGCGGAGACGTTGGTGGCGATGGTGATGGACTTCCTGCACGACCAGAACTGTAGCACACGGCTGCCTTCCGCAGAGTCTCCCTGCACAGCTCGGAGAACATGCTGCCTCCCCCATGGCCGTGGCCCTTGCGGACCACCCCTCTCTCTCACTCTCTCTCCTTTCTCTCTCTCTCTCTCTCTTCTTCCTCGACTTCCTCTCTGTTCTCTCTCTCTCTCTCTATCTCCCTCGTCGTTTACCAAACTCGAACGACGCACTCGAACCCGCACGTTTCGTACACTCGCCGGAAACGTCTCACCAATCGCGGCCACGCGGCTCGAACCACGTCGACATCCTCGCCGTCTGTTTCTAGGGAGCCGGTAGCTCGCGGTTCCACCGTAGGCGACGATCCGCTCGACACTACATCGTTACTCGGCCCGGTCTACGGCTGACGACACACACGTTCACGGTTCAACCAAGTGAGTTCGACACGCGCGAGGGAAAGGAGGAGGCGCGTGCACACGCGCGCTCGAAACGTCGTCGGTTACCATTCTGACAGGTTCAGCCCTCGTTCGAATAGAATCCCTATACCCAACCGAAATTTCTGCGGCGAAAAACGATACGGCTAGAATTTCACAACGTGTACTCTGGTAAAATCGAGGTTTAATCGGTGAACTGCCATAGCAATAATTGCTTGAAATAATTAAACGCCGCGGTAGAACGCGGCCTAGAACTCCCTGTCGTCTCCTAGCGCACAGTGAAACGGCGGAGCGTTATCGCAGCGCTCAGCGAGGATAACTGCGCTTTAGATAAAAATTTTACAGAGCGGAGGACTGATTTGCTCGCGAGCAAATCCCTCGTGCCAGAGCACACGTAACTAACGCCTCCGCGCCTAAACGGAGAGCGTTCACGAGAACGAAAATGGCGGAGGAGTTCACATTGGAGGGTGAGGCTTGATCGAGAAGTTCGCATAAAGCAACGTGGGACGAGTAGCGGCTGGCGACGCTGAACGAGGAAGCGATACGCGTTCAGGAAACGGCGTTAGTTAGCGACGAAGACCAGGAAACGTTCCGTGAGGCGTACACACACGCTGCTCGTAATAAAAACGTCTGGCCGGCTGCCAGCCGTTGGGAAATTTACCGGCCGTCTTCGGCCACGACACACCGCCGACAACCGGCAGTTGTCGTGAGACAAACCCGGAACAAAGCAACCGCGACCGCCATCATCCTGCACGAAAGTGCATCCAACTCGTTTGCATCTCGCCTGTAAATCGTCGCTACTAATTCGACTCGGGTCGTCGTGCAGATGTCGTTTGTCGACATTGTCGATGGTGCACGCTCGACTGGGATCCTCTTTCGTAACTGCGATCCTCAACGATGCAGTAACTTTCCAATTGCTTTTGCAATTGGCATCCTCGAGAGGGTGCTTGAACGTTCGGCGCGAGATATTACCGCAAGAGAACGAAAAGCGTTCCGCTGTTTGGAGAGACGCTGTGCTCGAGCTTCAAGTCAAGCAAAGAATCTTGCCATATAGTATTGCACCTCGGACAGAATCGCAGAAGTCTGAAAGAGAGCACTTGATGATAGTGTAGCTTCGATCCTACGCCAACAACTTTCTCTTGGATGTTGAACGATAATGCCTCGAAAAATCGAAAGATCGGCAGGAGGAGTTAACTGACGTTTTTTAGTCTGTCACTTCCGGGAAGAAAAATGACTACTCTGAAAGACCGTCAAAGCCGACACAACGCCAGCGATCCTCGCAGAAAGTAACATTTAATAACAACTTTAATATAGAATCTCGTTAATGGCACAGTTCACTGCTATCGTGGCGTTGATGTTCTTCACGCTCTGCCGACTGCGCTGATTAACCGGGTCGAAGGAAACCGTACTCGTGTTTAAAAAAAACACGACAATCCCGGAAGAACACCAATGAAGAATCGAAGCAACAGAGAACATGGTCCCTCGCGTTTCTCCAAAGCAGAGACGCGAGCTCTAATTTCAACGAGTTCGGAAGAATTATTCATCGAAGGGGATAGGGATAGAGGACGCGATAGACTCGCGATGGTGGCCATCTGGGACGCGTTACGGTTATCGTCCGCACACGCCAAATGCACGCCAAATGCTACGATGATGTCCGTTGTTTCGACCGCGGTGCCATTTGTCCGGAAATTCTCGAGACAATCGTTCGTTTAAATCTCTTCCCCGACCATCGAACAATCCACGCGTCTCCGATCGTTGTTTTTGGCCATATTCTCACTCTTTCTCTCTCTGTAGCGAGTGGCCATTTCGACGACGATCGTTCTTCGATGTCGATCGTTCTTTCGTGTCTCGAAACGCGCGTGATTCCGTGCTTGGTGGCTTGATTAATCGCGACGCTGGAACAACGCGCGCGGCGCCCAACCGGAAAAATGTCACCCCCCGTGCTGCATTTCGTTTGAGCGCGATCGTGTGCTCGTTCGTGCGTCAAACCATCGGATTGCGGCGTTTCAACGAGGCGGTCGCGTTTAACGAGGGCGTGCACAACGATTCGTCTCATCGATCGTCGAATCGCTCGAATCTGGCACGTGCGTCCGCGAGAGTGGTCGAGCCAGAGACTGACCTTCGCGATCGAAAACCGGAGACGTTCCCCTGATGTTGTAGTCTCCCGAGTTTTATTCGCAATTCTCGCAGTTTCTCATTGACAACTGTGTTTTTGTTCTTCTGTCTGTCGTTTACCATTTTTTTTTTTTTTTTCACCTTCCATTCTAAAATCGGATCAATCAGAATCGGTTGAAACTTAGTTTAATTTGTGCGTTACAAATCTGCAGTAATCTGTTGCATTTACTTAGTACTTGGAGCAAACTATTGTCTACACCAAGTGAAAGATCGATTTTTTAAACGGAACGAGATACAGCGAAGAGCAGAACTAAACGAAAAGACTGATATAACTTCGTAAAAAAAGATCATTTACTAATTTATCTTCATAACAATAAATTTTAATATTTCTATTATTCTTTAATATTAATTTTTTATAATAATAAATTATTTGTAATTCGAAATGAATAAGAGACATTTATAGTAGTTCTAAAAATTAAAATTATAAAAATTCTTATATTTCTGAAAAACAGTGACTTCCAATTGTTAAATCGAAATTCAATTATTTCATCAATTATTAAACGATCCACTTGGTCTCATTTTAAAGCATGAAACTTGTACCTTGAAAGTCGTCAATTTATCCTCTTCGAAAATGATTTTACATCGCGTTACAACACGTTTTTCTCGACGAATTGTAAAAATTCAAACGCGTGTAACAATGTTAAAAAATTTTTTCTCATGACTAAATCTAAATCTACCTTGTGGCCTTGAAGATTGAAATTTTTCTTTACAACGACCTCTTAAACTTCGCTGTACGATTCTCTCTCTTTTTTTTTCACCATTTTATTGAATGTTGGAATTTTTAAATATTCATCATTTAATATTCAAACTTCAATAAAGTGAGGAAAAAATTGTAGTACGAGTTGTAAGGAATCACTGTGAAGGAGAAACTTCAATCTTCAAAACGATGGTGGATCTGATCGCGAACAGAATTTTCTAATATTTTTACGCGTGTTCGAATTTTCTTCGCGATACAAAATCATCTTCACGACATCAAAATAGGAGCTTTGCTCTTGAAAATGAGATCAAATGTGGATTACTGTACGATTTCTTTTTACAAAGTTGTGCCAATACAAATTTTGAATTATTCACAATTTTCCATCGTTATTGGATTATATGTGTTGTAAAAAGAGAAACTGCCACCTTTTCGTTGCCCGAATTCTTCAATCGGAAATGCATATTTTAGATCGCGAAATTCCGGAATTTCTCGATTCGACGAAGCATCTTCCCTACTTTTCGACCCGTGTTTTTCCACATTGTGTCCGTTGCCTCGAAGAAAAAGAAACGGGACCCGCAAACGTCGAACGCGTCCCACAAATCGGATTAACGAGAGAAAATTGCGCGCCACGTTTCTTTGTCTGAGAGTTGGTCGGTCGAAAAGAGGAAATTTCGACACGTGGTGGTCGACACAAGAGACCGAGAGAAGCGAGTTGAGGATAAATTGAAAACGTCGACGGGGAAAGAGAACACGCGCGGCGACGTGTGCGAAGCGTCGAGAGGATTCGACGAGGATAGAATCGATACCAGTTCAAACCATTGGAAGAAGTTGAAAAGCGTCGATCGTTTGCTCGCTCCGAGGATAGCTAATTCACGTGTTCGGCTAAAAACAGACTCGTCGACGGCGGAGGAGCGCCGGCCTTGCCAGCTGGCGGACGGACGAATCATCGAGCTTCCGTCAGGCCTTAGAAATGGAGCACAATGGTACCGTTCTTTTGACGTGTGACGCGTGTAACCGGTATTCCCGTTTTCCAGACGTTTCATCGGTTATCTTGTAAGCTCCATTGTTTTTTTTTCTCGCCCACGGATCGTCCCCCATCCGTACACTGAATCCAAAAAAAAGAAAGAAAAAGAAAAAAAAGAAGAGGAAAAAGAGAGCTAATCATCCGACGAACTGGTTCAAAATAGTGTCTGAAAGTCTGAAAAGAAACATACGACGACGAACCGAACGAGTTTCGCGAGTCGGTCGGACCGATTTAATGACACGTGGTTGGGGCGAGTTGAAAAAAGCGAGGAAAAAAGCGAAACGCCAGCCAGAGCCGGAGGATCCCGCGAGAGCGAACCTAATTGAACGCTCCCTGTTATTTAGCGAGCACCGTGAGAATCGCCTGGCTGCTTAATACCGGTGCTTACCGCACATGCTACGTACGTAGGATAGGATAAATCAACCAACGTCCCGAGGATACGCGAATGTATAATTCGCCAAAGTATTAATCACGCTAATTGCGCGCCTCTGGAAATAAACGCCTTTAACGTATTAATCGAGGAGGAGAAGAAAGAGGACAGCGGCTCGATAATCACCGGGTGCTGGCGACGATTCGCCACGGTACGATAAACCGCGTCATGAAATCGTTGAGATATCGCGAGTACCGCTGACCACGTGATCACAGCAACGATCGTGCAATTCGCGTTTAACGCGACTGCAACTGTAACGTTCTCTCGAGCGGCATCGAGAGGATGCCTCTAATTACCTGGAAACGACTGGAGGATCGCCTCCTCTTCCTCCTTTCCCTGGAAGCAACGAGATTAAAAGCGAAAGAACGCTGAAAAATAAAAATCGCTGATATCGTATCGCGTTAGTAACGAGGTACTCTGCGAGGATCTCAAAGGCCGGAGCAGCAATCATCGAGATTCACAGGGAACGCGTCATCGTCCAGCCACCCACGTGATCGAAAAACTCATCTCCGAGGAGAGAGAGAGAGAGAGAGAGAGAGCTATTACGCGACGTACAATCTCGGATGTCTCATCGTCTCGTCTCCCGTGATCGAAACATCAAAGGAGCCCCAACACGCTCAGACAGCGGGATCGCGGGAGGAGAAGCGTCGAGTCACTTCGCGCACACAGGACGACACGACGATCGCTACGTCCGTAGTTCCTCGCGAGTGAAACGATACACCATCCATCCACCGATGAACCGGCGAAGAAACGTTAACTAGAAACACCAGCAGATGTAATAACTTCGCTTGCTCAACGGGAGCGAGAGAGAACCTGTCAGAATTTCTTTTTTTTTTTCCTTGTGCTCGACGTTCACTCAAAGGACCAAAAAGCACACGACACACGAGAGCGGAAGAACGCGGACGGAAGGGCGAGCAGCGCGTGTCCTCGAGAGGGAACTGCAGAGGAACAACGGGAAAGGGAGAAGGAAGAAGAAGCGCACCTCGTCGACGACGCGGCAGGACAGAGCGTGCGTCCTCCTCCTCCTCGTGGCAACGCGGCAGCACGTCATCCCGACCAGCGGGCGGACAAACTCAGCCGTAGAGAGGGTGAATACGCACGAGTCGGATCACCTGTACACCGCACGGTCTTCAGGCGAGAACTGAGCCCGCCTGAGGGAGGGAGCACAGAGGGAGCGACAGAGAAAGAGAGAGGACAAAGTCGAGGAGGACGTGGGAGTGAGAAGGGAGTAACTGACGGACGGAGAGGGCGAAGCGGAGGGAGAGAGGAAGAGAGAGAGAGAGAGAGAGAGAGAGAGGTTGAGCGTCGCGTCGAAGCAACCCCTGCTGTACTGAAAATTCGCGATGGAGGGGGATGGCACGGCGGAGTGAAACGCGCGCTGCTCGGTTAGTACGCGTGCAACGCGGTCCGAGGGAGGGAACCGGAGGGATAACGGAGGAGGCCGACATACGGCAGGAAGGGAGGCTTTCTCTCTCTCTCTCTCTCTCTTCCTGCTGTCGAGTAACGCTACCCTCTGCCCTTTCTCTCTCCGACTATGCTACGCCTCCTACCCTCTTGCTCGTAGCGGCGCTGCTGTTGCATCGATCAGCCGTGCGCCGCCACCTCCGACACTCCCGAAATGCTCAAACCCTCCACCTCCGCCAGTTACTCCTTCTCTTCGTCGCTCGATCCTTCTTTCGCCTCTCTCCTGCCCTCCGACTGCGTGTACAGCCACCTACAGACTCCTGCCGGCTAATTCCTTGCTGCTTGCTCCGCTATCTTTCTCAGTCTCTCACTCTCAACTTTCTCTTCCACCTTTCACTCTCTCTCTCTCTCTGTTTCTGTTCTGCTCAAATTTTACCATAGGCGAGACATTAATTTATCACGGTTTCGCGCCCAACGAAACCGAAATTTTCCCCTCCGTAGAGAATTGCATCGCGGTTGCACGGTTCCGCAGCCGGATGTTGTCACAACGTAGCCGACGTGGTTTTCGCGTCGATGACCTTGACTGCTGCTCGAGCGCACAACTCCGGAGGACAAACTTCAATTTCGTTTCAGTTTGGTCGCGGTAAACTGGAATTGTACTTGGCCGAAGGGTTTCCCGTCGACACCCTGTTGTCCTCCATCCTCTGACAGGCAGACTTCTCGCCCAACTTCAACACGCGCGCCGCGCTGCGAGAAAACTCTTCGAGAGGGCGAAGCGGAGGGTGACCTTGAAACTGGCGGAGTAAGAGAGGAATTCAGGAGGGTCGCGCGAACCTTTTCATCCTGGAAAGAAGAGAGAGAGAGAGAGAGAGAGAGAGAGAGAGAGTGAGCGAGCGAAAGAGAGAAAGAGAGGCTACCAGTGGTGTTCACGCAGCGGTACTCTTCCAACGAAGTTCTCGAGGATCGATAACCTTGAAGACGACGTAGAATCCTCTCAGGGAATACTCTCGACTCCCGTGACAGATTAGGCGAGAGAGGATGGCGAGGTGGATTGCACCGGCATCGTATGATGGTATTTTTATTTTTTTCTGTTTCTGCCAGATCTCGCTGATTTCTCGGTTGCTAGGCACGAAGGATAACGCGACAATGAAACGTGGTGTAACAGACGACTCTCACTGACTGCTCAACGCAGGAAAAAGATTTGTTTTCCACCTTTTTCTTTCTTTTTTCTCTTTTCCTTTTTTTTTCTTTTTTTTTTTTTTTTTTTTTTTTTTTGAGGGGTGTCTTTTGAGGTTTTGCGGTTTTTTTTTTGCGCTCGCGCTGCGGATGCACGCGCGGAATTCTCCCGCCGCGTACAAGTGAAAAAAAAAAAAAGGATCGCTCGTGGGAATAATGGGACTAGGCTTCCAATAATAACGCGGTCAGATACGTTCCCTTTCGACAAGGGCAAATTTTCGATTCGCTCGCCCGCCGTCGTGCTTTTACCATCGCGTAATTTTTCCGTTCGTCTCTAACCAGCGCTAGGTACTTTCTACTACTTTCAGGTCGATGAAATTCACTCTTATGGAACCCTCGTGTACTTTCGTTCGCCTTAACCTCTTAATGCTACGAGAGGCGAGATTTTTCGCGATTTTTATACCTCTGCGCGGCAAGATCCGACTTTTGAAAAATTGTGCGATAATGAAATTTATATCCGTAATTACGTTGCGTAATTAATACAGACTAAAGTTTGTTTTATAAAGAATGTGAAAAATCGTTGTGTACAGCTTTCTTCGACCGATCGTGAGAAACAAGCGAGCCACGTATAGTGGCGTTCAATAGCTAAAAAATCAAAACTAATTCATGTTGCTTTTATACAAAACGATTGCTTGGAATTATCAAAGAAACGATTCAACGCTTCTGCGACGTACTCTGTTACGATCTCCACGAAATACACACTTGCATATCTACATGTATCCACACAGATTGGTTTCAAACCGACAATAATCATGATAATTGATTCTCGTATCTAAACTGGGGATATGTATGCATTTACGAGAACTGCACGCAATACACAAAATATGTAGAATATTCAAAGTAAAGCCTTTGATTGTATTCACCAAGTACGAATTTGCATACGAATTTGCGCGGACTATTCACGACGGTGTGTACAGGGTGAATCACTTGCAACTTGATCATGCGCCTTGAATATCCTTGCTTCTGCACGCGTACATTTTACAAAATTGAAACCAAAATATCTCTCGAACTAGTGACTTCTTGATATGAACAGGTAAATATAAAGAATAAAAAGCTGCATCGATTGGTCTACAAAAAAAAAAAAAAAACATAAAGAAAAGGGAAATCTTCGAAAAACCTCCAGCTAGAAAAAAGAAAATCATTACTGCAACGTTATCGTTATGGCTCCCCCCGTACCCTTTGTTTTTGTTAACAAGATTCTCTCAAATCTTCAAAAACAACGAAAATGTTCGGTTCACCTTGTATACGATACAACAGTAAGTATATTTACGAGAAAAGTTTCTACAACTGTTGGAACACTTTCCTCAGCCCGTGTATACACACAATTGGTTAAAGTAACAGGGTCTACGAACAAACTTCATATCCGAAGAGGTAAACGAATAAAAATCGGATTTCCCTTTGTACGGGAAAACACTTCTGGGAATGCCTCTCTTCCTCGGAAACGGAACGTTTAATAAGAAAGGCAAGAAGGCCGGATGTGCGTACTTTGTAGAGGTATAACTAGTAGCGAATGCAGAACGAGAGAACTCGAGTTCTTCGTCGTTTTGCGCAAGACACGATGGCGAAATCGTCAGTCTGAACGGGGACGAACGTTCGTCGATCCCTCTCTCGGGGCACGTCTCTTCCACTCATCCACATTGCTCTCGTGAGTGACATGGTCGGAATCCGCATACGAGCTGTGCCGAAATTCCGCGCGTGTCTAGCTGGATAGGCTCTCGACGTCGTCCATTTTGCGAAACCAGAGTAATAGGAGTCCAACGCGAGACGAGTCTCGCTGGAAATATCCAATGAAAGCGTTCCGTCCACTTCTTTCCTCGGACGGGGAATTTAAGAAATTTCGCGACACGTGTGTCGTTACAAACCCCTCTCCCTTTTCGCGAGAAAAAGAGACGCGGACTTTTGCTGAGGGCGGTACGATCGAACGGACGTTCCGCAGGTGGATATAATTAGTTCCATCTTCTTCCGCTTAAATATTTGCTCGCCAACGTCCTGAATTCTCGTTCTAGAGATACTTTCGGCACGTGGTAAAAGTTTTGGATGAAGTTAAATATATACGCAGGCGCTGGAGATTTATTTTGGAGATCGAGAGTAGCAGTTGAATTTATGAATAGCGCGTGTATCTCTGATTAGAAGTGGCAACGTGATTAAAAAACTGGAGAATCCTTGAAAAACTAGACGAAAAACTTTCAATATCAGTGCAGTCTGCTATTTGCAGAATTGATCGCTCGTTCATTGATCGTCATTCATAAAAATTAAAAATCATCTTTCAACGCTCGATGTATAAATGATTAATTTTCGCAAAATTCTACGTTTTAACTTTGTTTGTTGCGCAAAGTGTCATATTGAATAATTCAAATTCAAAAGATACATAAATTCTTTCGATTTTCAAAACAGCACGCGTCTCTATTTCTCAATGTAGTTTTCCTAAATTTCTAAATCTCACGTGGCTTTTCAGTGAAAGTATTGCGATATCGTGTGACAAATTGCACAAACGTTATCGAAGTATCCGGCGGAGCGGTTACAGAGACGAAAAATCTGTCTACTTTTACAAGCACCGAACTACCTCGCCTGGTGAAGAAGAGCGCCTTCAGATAATCCTGATATTCTTCCAAACTTCTCCCAACAAGAGAAATCGCCTTTTTCGACAAGTAGTAGAACAGCACACTCGAAGAAGAAGAAGAACTGGCGAATTCCACGGGAAATCTTGTCGAGTGGTAGACACTCGAGGGCGAAAGCAGTTCGTGCTCGAACCTCACAGTTGCACCGAGGTTAATTACCGAGGGGATTAATTTCAGGTCTCTCTCGCGCGAGGAACGACACCGGGTTGAAACGAGACACGAAGACGAGGTCTTAATCGGAAAGCTCCCACGATCGAAAGGGTGGGAAGGATGAAAAATCGAGAGGCGGGGCCTCACTTAACGGTGTTTTCCTTTCCAGAGCGTTCCCACTGTGCTCGCTTTCAGACCACTCTCGCAAAACGGGTTCCACTACCGGATCGTTACCGGTGAGCAAAGAGTTGCGTCGTTTGCCGATTTTATTCTCTCGAGCTGCGACAAGTAACAAAGACGATGCGGCGGGACGTCATTATTCGTGACTTTCGGGGGTAAGCAAGCGTTTTCGGTGTTTCTCGGTGTTGTAACTGGCTTGAGGTTTCAAGCTCAAACTAAATTTCAAGATATATCACTTGACAGAATGCTGTTGGGATAGATTCCTTCCTTAGACACGATTTACGCCCGGGAGCTTCGAGTAATAATACCATCAATCTAACTCCAAATCTCTAAAATACTCAAACAGGTGTCAAATAGATATCAAAATGTAAATCCCAATTTAGTATTAGTATTGTATTAATATTATTGTTATATAATAATATAATATTATATTATTGTTATATAATATTATATAATATTAATATAATATTAATATTAAGTATTAAATATTTAATTATGTTACAAGATATTACAAAAATTAGTCCTCAATTGACACTTCTGATTTTCACTGCCATTTTGAACGTGACACAATTACTCGTTGTTTAATAAATAATCGCTGGTAAGTTTCCGGGAAAACTCTCCCCTCTGAGAAGTTGTGAAACCTCAATCCTGTACACGAATCTTCGATGATCAAATTCTTCGCGCATCACCCTTTCTCCCGGAATAACCAGATTTGAACTCCGCCACTTCAACTCTCTCCTGAAGGTTCTAAGTCATAACTCGTAACATCCAACACCGTACACGTACAGCGAACGCACGCATTCTGGGCCATCGATTTCCCATTTCATTTCCACTCTGCTACCCTAATCCCTCTAATTAAGGTTTACGCGCCAAAACGATCGCGCCATCTTCATCGGTGCTATCTCTATAGACTGGTCCCCGGTTCGATTTGTGCCTACGTCGAGATACATATCGCGACGACTTCACTGTTCTCGCATTCTGTTCGCCAACAAAGGCAACAGAGTAAATCGTAGATAAATCGTCGTCGTCGTCGTCGTCGTTTCAACGACAAGAAAGCAAACCGACTTGTTCCGTACGCCCCTTTGCACCTATTCTTCGTTCCGGATCTCTCTTTCGGAGAGATCCTTACTCCGTTGAACGCGTTCCCATTAATTTCGTCGGGATCACAGCAGGCTGTGGTACCTTGGCGCCGATACTCGGCCTCAATGGCGCCCTTTGCCTATGAAAAGAGTCGGATCGAACGTTTCCTCACGTCGGAGCTCTGCCTTTCAGCAACTCGCTCGTCCAACTCTGACGAGAGTCAAGCGAACGTGTTTAGGACCATTCAGATCGATCTTCTTTCATAAACCAGATGAGAGATTCCTTTCTTTTTTTTTTTCTTTCGGACGCGAGACGACTTTTATTTTCTTTTTTTAATTCTGACTAGCGACAATGACAATATATATATATATATATATATATATATATATATATATATATATATATATATATATATAGTGAAAACTAGCGTACATTAACGAATGATTACTGTCGATTACTGTCATTTTACTTCAATAAACTTGAATTGGCAAAAGAAACACTGTGCAATGATTCTAAAATATATATATATATGTATTTTTTTCTGATTTTGAATTTTAAAAATTAGCGTTAAGTTTATTGAAGTAAAATGATGGTCGATAATAATCATTCGTTAATGCAGGCTAGTTTTTAAAATTCAAAATCAAAAAATAGTACCAACTAAGTGTAAATTGTTGCGAGCATTTGTAACGAAATAAGGCGAATATCTACGCAAACATTTTGTATGCCTGCTACACGGTATTCGGCAGAACTTTCGCGCAGACATTTCGGAGAACTAAGTTTCGCGAACACGCTCGCGAAGGAGTGTACAAGTATACTCTACTACTGGGGACCCACGTTGAACAACGTAAATAAAGCTTCAAGCGTTTGGTAGTTCGTTTTCCTGCGCCATGGGGTTTAGAAAAGAGAAAACCTATGGGTGCCATAAATTAGACCCTCGTAGGTATTACGAGTTGTGCAGCAGGAGGAGTTAAATTCTTTTTCTAATTGCAGTGGGGGAAGAGTTATTATTCTGAGATATTGAATTAACTCCAGTGCATCATAATATCATCCAGTCTCACGAGTGATGAAATTATGTCATTGGATATTGAAAACTATAGCGATTCACATTGCAAATTTTAATAATCTTTCATGTACAAAATTTTAATGCTCTATCGTATGTAAATTACTAATCATCAACCACAATTCAATTTGGAGATTAAAATACGAATTTAAAACATTCTTGGTACCATCTAAATTGTTGTCGATGCATTTTAAACAAAAAATTTGTAGCGTGGCAGCTTTTATACAAATGAAAAGATACAGATGTAACGATTGTGCTTGATTATACCAATGTCATAAATTATTGCGCTTACAGTGTGAGGGAGAGAAAAAGAAAATTAATTTCTCAGTTTAAATAAAACATTTTTTAATTGAAGCGAAATCTCAAATGCCTACGCGAATTATATATGAATTGCAGTTCGTAAAAATGAATAAACGCACGATGATTTCAATTCGCGTAGACACTAATTGTAAGAGTGGTGCATCCATAAGAATCACCAAAGATACATGGTACCATCTCAGTCTCTTGCGCTGGAATGATGTTGAGAACTTTTTGTCCCAAATTGCAACATTTTCTCAATTTTATATTTAACAGTAACCCAGGCAAAACAAATGATAAGTATATCATTTCTTAATAATTTCTATCCAGTGATATCATACCGACGAGTTCAAAAGAAAAAGTAAGCGACGAATTATTGTACACGCGAGCCAGTTGCCAGCCCAACGGATTAATAATAATAAATGTCACAGCAGTCGAGTTATTTCATTCGAGATGAAATTTTACAAGATAAACGTTCACAAGGACAAGTCGAAATCTAATCCCAAACCAACGCCAATTCTTCACAGCGATCAATTGTTCTAACGAACAACGAAAGCTCTTCAACGGACACACGTTATCTGGAGCTCGGTGTGTCGTAACACAGTTTCACACGCACGACTTGGCCTCCCATTATCTGAACGAGGGAGCCTATTGGCCCGATTCGGTCCGATTGATCGTCCCACGGCGTTCTGATTACACCGAAGAAATGCACTCTCGGAATGGACGTGGCCCGTTGGACATCGGCCAGAATGATATTTCGAAGATGAGCCGCGTTTTTCTCGGACGGCGTTGCCCCTGCTTGGGGGAGAGGGAGAGGAAGAGGGAGAG